CCGCAGCCGGTGGAGGCCAACGTCGCGGTGCGGCGGAGACAGGATGAGCTGTTCGTGCCTCTCATCCATGCCACGCGCGGGAACGACGACCCGCCGTGCTACGCGGACTCGCTCCGCGCGCTGCGAGTGCCAGATGAGGGCGACCGCCCGCTCACGGACGCCGAGATGGTCAGCCTCTGCTCCGAGTTCCTCAACGGCGGGACGGACACGACGGTGACGCTGGTGGAGTGGATCATGGCCGAACTGCTGAACCACCCGGACGTGCAGGCCAAGGTGCACGAGGAGGTGATTAGATCGTCGTCCAATCCGGCAGAGCACGGCGGCGGCGACGTCCAGGTCCAGGCGATGCCGTACCTCAAGGCCGTGGTGCTGGAGGGCCTGCGCCTGCACCCACCGGGACACTTCGTGCTCCCGCACGGCGTACGTGGCGATGACGCGGACGTGGGCGGCTACACGGTGTCCAAGGGCGCGGAGGTGAACTTCCTAGTGGCGGAGATCGGCCGCGACGAGGAGGTGTGGACGGCGGCGCGGGAGTTCCGGCCGGAAAGGTTCCTGGATGGCGGGGACGGCTGTGGCGTTGACATCACTGGCAGTCGGGAGATTAAGATGATGCCTTTCGGCGCTGGGCGGCGCATGTGCCCTGGCTACTCGCTCGGCATCCACCATGCTGAGTACTTCGTGGCGAGGATGGTGCGGGACCTGGAGTGGCGCCCGCCGGTGGATGGCGCGGCGGTGGACATGGCGGAAGAGCTAGACTTCACCGTCGTTATGAAGCAGCCGCTCCGTGCACGCATCGTCGCTAGGCATTAGCTCCACGTGGGATGTGACGCATCCATGTCTAGAGTGGAGTGGAGTGGAATGGCAGTGGAAGGTGGATGGTGTGGCGTCGCCGCCGCCGCGTTGGACATGGCGGGGAGGCACTGGATTTCACCGCCGTGATGATTTGTGAAGCACCGCTCCGTGCATGCTTGCATCGTCACCATACATAGATCTAGCTCACTGGGTCTTTCTTGACTTCTTGTCAAAAAATAAACATGAGATGGGTTATTATAAAGAAAAGGCCAATAATATTTATAACGATTATTTATCACGTTTTTTTCCACGAAAGAAAAATTATATTATATTAGATAATAGCTGGGTTACATCAACATATTACAAGCACTCTGGATTACACAAATATCTAGAAACTGATTTTTATCTAAATTGTACATACGCTGTGAATAGTTCCGAATCTCAAAACCAAACATATACGACGCTTTGTAGTATGGATAACCGCACAGGCAAACACTCGGCAAAAAGGCCTGAGAACAGATGCCCAACGAACGACGACCAATATTCATGTAGGCGGAGTTGATAAACTTCTTCTTTTCTGGTGTCTTCCTTCTTCTTTTTTGTGCCTGAGGTAGACTGATCTGAAACTTATTCTCCTTGGTCCTTCATCGTGGCCAGATCTAACCATAATAAAACGGAGAAGAAACCAGAGAAAATTATTCCATGGCTGCAACACCATCTCCGCCTTGATATCGCCGTCCCAAAATAAAAGTCTCCATGTCATTAAACCAGTGAGGATGCTGACGCCGTAGTTGTCGCCCTCATCTTCAACAGAGCCGGCATAGAGAAAACGATTCCACCCTGCCCTCTCGCCGTCGCCAGAGAGAGGAGGAAATAAATCCACAAAACCAAAAAAAACTTGCATGGAAAGACGCTAACCCTAACAACTCGATTTACTAGGAAATTTATTAAAAATGATGGATCCTCACTCCCTCCGGCCTCGAAAGATATGCCAGAGGGGGAGAGAGGGGGGATCAGCGGCGGTGATAAGAGTCCGTAAGGACTGAAGGGAGGGGGACCATAGTTGGTTGCGACTCGCGAGACCCCATTACGGCTTACCTCATATTCGGCTTGTTCGGCTTCTTTTTTCAACCGGAACAGTGTTTTTCTCTCACAACAATTCAGCCAGAACAGTATTTTTCAGCCAGTTCCAGCCAAAATTCTGCCAGCCGAACGGGGCCTAGAGTTCTTCCACCGATTATTTATCATGTTATGTAGCATTTTATTCTTCACAAGCAGGACTGAAGAGCATGTTAGAGCGTCTTCGACAAATTACCTACCATCAATCTACCCTATACTCCTAAACCTATATACCCGTCATATGAACAGTAACGATTCCGTGAATAGTACCCGCCTGCTATGAACAATGCCGACCCCGTAAATAGTAACGACCGGTACGGACAGTGTTTCCCTGTTTGGAACAGTGTTACCCGTTACACAACAGTACGTACCTGTTAACCATTAACGCAATTTAATCCGTTTGCAACAGTATAAAAACGTGTTCAAAAAACACTTACCCATTAACAACAGTACATACCCTTGAAACATTAGCAGATAAGCATTACTCGACTACTGTACCAACCCATGCTCCCTCTTCCTTCCAATAAAGTACCCCGACTACTGCATCGAATGATTTTTCCCTTTTCTTCTCCCTTTTCCTACTGCTCTCTTCTTTTCATGCTACGTACTGTTTTTTTAACTTACTGCTGTTTTCCCGCTACTTTTGCTCTCTTCCTTTCCAATGGTAGACACTCCAAAACAGTGCTACATATTGCTTTTTTTTTACTTACTGCTGTTTTTTCGCTACTTTTGCTCTCTTCCTTTCCAATGCTAGACACTCCCAACACAGCTAATGTTCTTTGTATACTAGGTTAGACCATTTCTTTCTAAAAAAAGGTAATTCTTTTACATATCAAAGCAGGCCAATTCATTTTGTGCCAAACATTGAACAATACATTCTCTACTCATATTTCTCACTATTATCGCCCGCGGCACCGCGCGGGGCCATAGCTAGTTTCCTAAAAATTTATATGAGTGGTCTTCTATATTACTCATAGGGTATCATTTTCTCTTTCTTCTCCAACATATTATCAATCAACACATTTAAAATTGATATATAGAGGGTGGATCTCCTACATTTAAGGGACGGGAGTATCTTTTGAGCAATTACTTGAAACTTTTAGATATCAGGATATGATAAGTAATAGTCTATATTGAAGTAACCATAATCTCTTATATCGTATTTTTTTGGTATTATGGATGAGATAAGTAATCTGTTAAAGATGCTATTAAGAAAAAAAGTTAAACGTTCGCTGGGCTGAATTTGGCTCAAAAACACTGTTCCGGCTGAATTGTTGTGAGAGAAAATACTGTTCCGGCTGAAAAAGAAGCCGAATAAGCCAGCTTTTGTGACCAGCCGAACGGCACGTAAGTGATGGTTCGGGAGATAGAGTGGCGAGGATGGTTCGGGAGCTAGAGCCGTGGCTGGCAGTGAACATGACAAAAGCATCAGGCTTCATCATGCATCGTCGCTTGACATTAGGCCAACTTGATGTATGTGTTGGTATCTCATAAAAGAAGCCTTCTTAACCAGATCATGAAAATATGGATCTACAACAAAAGATTTAAACAAATTGAGAGACTTAGACAATAGCATTTTATATCTCATGTAATTAGCCCATCGATTTCTCGACATGTGAGAGCCCTCACAAAGATCAGCGAACATTGTTCAACTTTGTTAAAAAAAAACACAAGTAAAAATAAATGTGATCACTTCATGCTTTTGTGAAAAATGTGGTAGCGAGCACGTTACTCATGATGGTTCTGTAAATTTTTTAGAAATGCTTGATGCGCCAGGAAGTGTTGGCATGATGATGCGCCAAGAAGATGGGATAGATAGCAACAAAAGGAAGATGAGTTGTTCGTAATGCATCGTAATGAAAGCTTGGTGTTCACCTACTACAAATGGTACCACCCATCCAAACTTTTCTCTCCCCTTCTCATCATCCAAGGGGGATCAAGTGCTAGGAGAGTGCACCCCTTAACCTATTCCTCGGTGTAGACCTCCTTCTGAACAATGAGTACTTCTAAAGCTTAGCACTTAGCATCAAAATCAGCCCACAACTTTTGCTCTTTGAATGTCAAGATCCTATCGGAGTTAAAGACATCGGGCTGTAAATGAATTCCTAGATGTTTTCCTCGAAGAGTTATGGGGATGCATGGGTTATCTTCTATGCAGTAGTGTCTTATTAAAATACTCACATTTTTTAAATACCATACCATACAAACAGGACTTTAGCCTTTGCTTTTTTAGCCCCCTTGAACAAAGAAAAAATAGAAAAATTCTAGAGGATTGAAATCCTACCCCATAGGGAAAAAAATTAAAAAAAAACATTTGGATTTAAGGTTGGGTTCGTGTATTTTTTTTATAAAACTCTTAAAGAATGGCTTGTTTCATATGAATTTTGAAGAATTATAAGAAGGTTAAACCTCATGAAAAGCTTCTTTTTCTGTTACATTCTTTTATCGTATTCTTATGTTTTCCCTTGTTTAATTAATCTTGCGTTCTAAAGAGATCCATAGAACGGGGTTTTTGTCTGCGAGCTTTGTAATGGACACGACGACAGGGACGCGGCACGGCCACAGTGGTCGTCGGCTGGTCGGCAGCACCAGACGCGGCGGAGGCCAGCCAATCCGCGCACGCCTGAATGCCTGCCTGATTCCGTTCCGTCACGCTACGACAGGGGCTTTTCCAAAAGAAATCCCGACCGATGGTTGCGTGCCAACCAACGCTGACCCTACGGCGGCGGCGCACGTGCGCATCCCAGCCGTCCGCGCGCGAATATCCGGCGCAGATACCCCGATCGGACGGCCCAGTCTCGCTCTCGCCCGACGCGTCCCCACGGGAAAGGGAAAAGAGACTCCTCCCGAATTACCCCGGAGGACAGGGACTCCTTTCCCAAAAGCGCCCGTCACGGCCAGATCGAGCATCTGGGCCGTCGGGGCCGCGGATCGGACGGCTGCCACCGCGGCCCAGATGTTTTTCCGGGGCCATAAATGCGCCGCGGCCGCCCTCGGCCCCAAAACCTCGCTCGCTGTGCCGCGCCTCCTGCCTCGTCTCCTCGTCCTCCACAAGCGAGCGAGCTAGGGTTCCGAGAACCGGCGGCGCCATGTTGGTCTACCAGGATCTGCTCTCTGGTGCGTGCGAATTTCACCCGATCCAATTTTCTTACCCGTTTGTATTTGTATTCGCTTGGTTTCCGATTGCCGGATCTGGTGGTCTAGTCGTGTCATGCGATGTGTAGAGAAACCGATCTCGTCGTCGCTTTGCTGCTGGCTTAGATCTGCGATCGATTGGACGAGTCGTTGTGCGATCCGTCTAATTCGTTGTGCGCTCTGGTTTTCGTGTCTTGCAGGCGACGAGCTCCTGTCGGACTCCTTCACCTACAAGGAGCTCGAGAACGGCGTCCTCTGGGAGGTCGAGGGCAAGGTATCTTCGCCCATCCTACTCACCGAATTGATTGCTAGCATGTGTTGTGATCTGATAGCATCCGTTTGATGCAGTCAGTAGCTTGTGTTTAGACAGCAGCCATCATACTAGGTTTAGTCTAGATGTACTGTGTGCTGCTGCCCTCAGATGTATTTTTGTACTGTGTGCTTCCCTCAGTCGTATTTTGATTTTTGCTGTGTGCTGCCCTCAGCTGTATTTTGGTAGTTGCTGTAGATAGATTTTGTGGTTTCCTTGTTGGAGCCAATTATGTCTAGTGGTTTCCACAATTGCTTGCTGTGGCATGCCATGTTGTTTACCCTTGGTTCAAAATGATGTAGGCTACTGTTAGTTAGGTATACCATGTTGTTTACCCTTGGTTCAAAATGATGTGTGCTACTGTTAATTTAGTCTTTACAGCCCAGGACTTTTCTGTTGGTTCATGACTAACCTGCAGCTGTACCAAAACTTAATTTTCATGTGTGCCTACTGCCTACAACTTTTCCACATTTGTAATTTGCTTGCTGTGACATGCCATGTAGTTTACCCTTGGTTCAAATTGATATATCCTACTGTTAGTTTAGTCTAGTGGTCTTTACAGCCCAGGACTTTTTTTGTTGGTTCATGACTGTAACCTGCAGCTGCACCAAAACTTAATTTTCATATGCGCCCCTGCCCTGAGTGTGTTGAGTATTCTTCTGTATGTTTGGTTATCTATTTGGATGAATTTGTAAGTTGCATAGTCTTGATGTGTGCAGCAATAATACTCTGTTTTACTTATTCCATTATGCTGGTTAGGGTTTTGTGTGATTGTTACTTACATTGTGCTGGATGCTTGCAGTGGGTCGTCCAAGGACCTGTTGATGTGGATATTGGTGCCAACCCGTCCGCCGAGGGTGGCGAAGATGAAGGTGTTGATGACACGGCCGTCAAGGTTGTTGACATTGTTGACACCTTCCGCCTTCAGGTTGCTGCCCTTCAATGTGTCAGGAGTTATTTTTTATCTTGACTGTACCTTGTGCATATGTTTTTTGTACTAATCCGTGTATTCCTGTTTGCAGGAGCAACCCCCTTTTGACAAGAAATCGTTCGTAGCTTACATTAAGAAGTACATCAAGAACCTCACTGCCGTGTTGGAGCCTGAGAAGGCAGATGAATTCAAGAAGGGCATTGAGGGTGCCACCAAGTTTCTTCTTAGCAAGCTCAAGGACCTTCAATTGTAAGTTCTATACCCCACGATATTGATAATACATTTCATATCTATTGTTAGCTTAGTAATGCTGTGTGAACTACTGTCCTTCTCAAGTTCTATACCCAAAGAATCTATCGAAAATACATATCATATCTATTGATAGCTTAGTACCATCCTTGCTGTGTGAACAACCATCCTATCTTTTTCTGCTATGTAGATATGAATGGGAACTTTGGATACTCTCATGTAGATATGATTGGGAACTTTGGATAAACTTGTACACAAATGTGTCTCAGCCTTTGTGATCACACGTTGGGCATGAATTATTTTTGTTCATATAATGAGCTTCTCATTTTTAGTTGGGCATGGATTATTTTTGCTCATATAATGAGCTTCTCATTTTACAGCATTTTTTTGTTGGTGTGGTGTTGCCGTTTTAGTAACTGTTTTACACGTGCAGTGCAATCTTAGTTTTAAATGCTGCTATAACCTCTTGTTGGCCTAAAATGCTGCTCTAGCTAAATTCATGTTGCGGTGCATTATTCTGCCATAATAGTTTTTATCTACCACTGCTTAGTCTAATTTTACATTTATTCCTACCATGATTTATTCACAACTGTCTATAGTGTAGTCTAATGTCAACATTTATGCAAGTTTAATGCCTTCTAAGAGATAATTTAAGTTCATTTATGTCAAGTCTAATGTTGACATTGTTGTCATTTGTGTTTTTTAACAGTTTTGTTGGTGAGAGCATGAAGGATGATGCAACTGTGGTGTTTGCCTACTACAAGGATGGTGCCACTAATCCGACTTTCCTCTACTTTTCCCATGGTCTGAAGGAGATCAAGTGCTAGGCGTGCGGCGAGATCAATTGCCCCATGTTGGGTGTTATCTATGTACTACTGTCTTTTTGTTCTAGCCGCTGTGGCTGAATCCTACTGTGTTAGTCCAAGAGTGTTTTTGAAAGAAAAAAAACTGTCTTAAGATTGAATTGTCTCGAAACAATGAGTAAAACTCAATATTGCTGCTGTGAGTGTCCACTACTGTCTTGTTTTTGAGCCGCTGTGGCTGGAGGACTAGTGTTTTTGAAAAAGGCGGCTGATGACTGTGTTAGTCTTTTTTGGAAAAGATGTGAGGGGTGGAAAAACAGTTAGGATTGACGAATGTTTAAAAAAACTTCACTTTTTACAAACACGTTAAAGCTTTCAGTTTCTTCAAAAACTTTTCAGTTTTATCTCCAATTTTTCCAAATAAGTTTTTTGAAGACAAAACACGTTGCATCCCATTTACTTTGGGTTTCTCAATGATGTGTCATTGGTTCTAGAAAAAAAAAACAAATGGACTCGCTAGCGCTTGGACATATGTCCGGACGCTGCTCGTACAGCGAACGAGCCCTTAGTGTTGGGCGCGTGAGGGAGCACAACAGTAGTAGTCCCGTGCTGTCCTAGACGCTAAGATGTCACAGTTGCATCATACAAAAGGCATCTAGATGCATGGCCCATGGCGCTGACCTACCTGCCACGTCAGCGCCACTTGGATGACACATTTTTTACGGTTAGATATCTCGGCGTCAAGATCTACCTAAGCGCCGTAGGCCACGGCGCCGATCCCCAGAGTTTAAAGATCAGTTTACGTCGTCCAGGGGGTTAAACGTAATTTTTCTTAAAAAGGGTGCTAAATTGCAAAAAATTAAAACGTTTGGTATGGTGTCTACTTCAACCCTAAGCTACAAAACCATGTATTCTACTCGTTGAACACCTTCAAACTGTCTATTTAACCCCTTGAGGTGGCTTTGGAACTTGGTTTTGCTGACGTGGCTCTCTTGTCTATTGCCAACATGCCAAGATCGAGTTTATTGTGCCTGCTCTCTCTACTCACCATTCTCTTCCTCCTCGCAATCCATCCAGCTTGCTAGCTGCGCGTCGTACACCTTGGTCACCAGCGCCACGTCCCACGCCACGGCGAGCTCAAAGTCAAAGCCTCTAGCTGCTCCCTGCGTGTCCGCGATGCTGTGCAGGTACACCTCGAGGTAGTGCCGCCGCTCGGTCTCTCGGTAGGGCAACTTCCCGTGTCGGTCGCAATCGCAAGCTGCACGCCGACGTCGCGGGCGTTGCGGACGTGAAGGAGCCTCAACTCGAGGATACATCGAACCACTTCTTGAAGCCCGAGCTGCCGACGCATGGGCTAGCTGTTTGGCAGCGATGTTGAACGTGTTCAGCGTGGCAAGCGCTGCGCAGGCTGTGATGTGGCCCATCACAGTGACGTTGTACGTGTCCACCAGCCTCCGCACCTCGCTCAACACCTGAGGCCTTGCACTCTCCTGTACGTGGGTTGGGTGCACTCTCTTGCCGACGATGTGGTGTACAGTAACCTGGTGACCCCGAGGCCACCGTGCTGGGACATGCGCAGCTCTGCTGTAGTGCCGTACGCTCGATGATCAGCTTGCTCGGGCGGTTTATACACACACACACACACACGGAGAACACCGCCGCCGTCTATCATGGACACCGCGCCGCACTATGCTGTCGGCTACAGATGTTCCCAAACCATGCCGGCGCTGAAAGACTTGTGCCGTGTCGTGCTCAACGGGCAGGGGCTTGAGACGCCGCCGGCTCGCCATCTCAAGGAGCGCGACCTACATGCTGAGAGTCTCTTCCGTGTGGCACCCATGGCTGCTCGTGGGCTCTATCACGGACACCGTCAAGCAAAGCTCGGCAGTCAAGGCCAAGACCACCTCAATGTGAGCTGTTAAATGAAATGCCGGTGAAGAAAGATGTTTAAGAGGTAGAATACATGATTTTGTAGTTCAAGGGGTGAGAAGTAGACACGCCAAACGTTAGGGTTATATAGATGTTTTATTACATATTTAGATATACAATATATAATAAAACAATACATTTAAAAATATCAAAACGTATTATAATTTAAAACATGGAAATTGATTTTGGATTCCTTATGTTGGAGAGGAAGGAAGATGTAACAACCCAAAAATCCATACACCAAAAATACTAACTATAAAATTTTTTCTCAAAACTCCCATGTGATGATGAGTGTCATGTATATAAACCCAACCTAAGAGATGTATTAGGTCTAACCCCAACCTAAGTCAACACACAAGCATGGCATGCCATAGTTAATCATGTTTATTTAAATACTAACAAATGAAACATAGCATATATTGTTAACTCACATGGTGATTTGGATCTTCAGCTGCTTTATGTAATGCCTGAAAACTCCTTTAAAGAAACACATCATGAACTAATTATGATTCAAACCAAAGGATAAATGTTTAAAAAGAAAACTATTTCCATTTGTGTATAACAAAACAACACCTATTTTTGTTATGCAAAATAGCTAAATAAATTCCTAATATATATAAAAATGATATGGGCATCATATCTAAAAGGTACACCAATTTGGAATCCAAATTTCAAACCAAATTTGAATTCAAATCAAGGAAGAAGAAAAAGAAAACAGAAAAAAGAAAAAGAAAAGGAGAAGAAGCTCTCTCAGTGACCAGAGCTGCTCGCTTGGCTTCACTGACCCGACCAACCTAGGCAATCGAGTTGGCCCGGCTCAGCTCCCTCGAGACCTCGCGTGCTCCCAGCGGTGGCCTAGCTCACCCTCCCTCCCGACCACGGCTGCTGAAGCGCTCGTGGCCCACGTAGCCAGCCCGCACGCCGCTCACGCCCGCACACCGCTCTCACCTCGCCTGCAGCCGCTGCCACACGGGCCCCGCACGTCAGCCACCCCCGTCCACAGTGTCGTCTTCCTCCCCCACGCAGCTCACGCCTCCGACCAAGCCCAGCAGACTTGCCGGCGAGAGCGGGCAGAGGGGTCACGCCGGGCATGGCCTGTCTCCTTGGCGCCGCGCCCACACAACCACTCGCGGCCGTTGGATGCAAGCACGCGCCTCCGATCGCCCTTGAACCCCATCCGCCAATCACCGGGCTCCGCCGTTCCCCGATCGGCTATAAAGCCCTGGCCCTGGTGCCCTGAGCTCTCAACGCCCCGCCGCCACTTTGTGGCCATCCCGTGCACACCCGAGCCAGAGAAGGGCGAGGAAGAAGGAAGGGAGAGGGAGGAGGAAGAATGAGGCGCCATCGGAGCACCTTCGGCCGGCCGGAGCAGAGCCGACGCGCCATCGCGCCTCTGGCGGCGTGCCTGCACGGCTTTTGGGGCTACACGGCCGCAACTCGCCACTGCGTCACCATCCAATCTTCCACGACACCAACGGTGAGCTTCCCCCCAGACATTCCCATGCTCGCCACCGGACCTCATCGTGTCGGCCATGGCGCTCCACACCGGGAGCGCGTAGGCCAGGGCCGTCTCCGGCCTCTGGGTACACACGCACCCACGCGCACACCCGCGGCCACGTCGTGACCGCCCCACCGGAGCCCCGTGGTGCACCCGTGTGCCTCGCCGTCGTCACCATGCCGCCGTGGCCGCCGGGGAGCCCCTACCGGCCACATGGGAACCCGAAGCCCCGCCTTGAGCCCTGGACGGCCTCGCCGCGTCCCCACGGATCCGTAGGAGCCTACACACTCCACCGAGACGCCTCTCCGAGGCCATAGCCCCCACACCGATGCCGCCATCATGCCCGGAAGACCGCCGCCGTGGCCGGCACACCACGAGACCCCGCACGCCGTGTTAACCCCACCAATGAAGTCGTCGAGGCCTGGCAGTGCTTTTCCCCACGTCAATTGGGCGCTAGCGCCGCTGTGGAAGCACGCCGGTAAGCACGTCGCCGGCGGGAACACGCCGGCAAGGAAGCAGGGGAAAAATCCCCCCACCGGCCACACACGCATGGACTAGGTGCACGTAGGCTAAGCCAGTAGGAGGAAGGGTGGACTTGGTCCACCATGGACCCTGTCTTAGGTCCATAGACCAGTGCCTCTTGGTCCACCGAGAGCCAGCGCTGAGAATCGGAGCCCAGTAAAGGCCCATGGCTGTGACGTGGCAGCGCCACAGCACGCCACGTTTCCGGGCCGGCCCGGCCCAAATCCAGCCCATATCCAGGCCCAGTTCAGACCCGGTCCGCGTTGACTGTTGACCGGTTAACGTTGACAGTTGACCTGGCCCACCTGTCAGTGTCACAAAGCCTCGAGACCCACATGTCGGTGGGTGACGTCATGCTGACGTCATGATGATGTCACGCGGGACCCACCTGTCAGTAGCAACACAGCCGAGGTGACGCCATGCTAATGTCACGATGACATCAGCTGCTGACATCAGCAGCCCTGGCCCCACACGTCAGTGACCCTGACCCCTTGACAGTTGACTCACCGTTGAGTTGACGTTGACTTTGGCCGGACCCACATGTCAGTGACCCAAGAGCCCCTGGACCCACCTGTCGGAACTGATGACGTTGCTGACGTCAGCTGGACCCCGCCTGTCAGCTCGGAACCGAGATGATGACGTCATGCTGACGTCAGCATGCCACATGGACCAGTCACAGCGTGACACATGTCAGCCTAGGATTAATTCAGCCTTTTTCATTTTTAGAAATGGATTTAATCTTCGAAAATTCATAACTAATTCATACGACCTCGGAAAAATATGAAACCAGGACCAAAATTCATCTAAAATCGAGCTCTACGCAATGAACCCATGTTTAAGTGCATTTGGCTCTTTTAAATTTTTATTGCTTCTTTGTGCTATTCTATAGACGTCGCTAACGTGACTATAATTCAATCGTATGCAGACTCGGAGGAGTATCGGACGGACGAGGATCGTGAGTACCGTGAGGAGTACGGAGATGACTACACCGAAGGTGCCACATCCCATCCAATCTCGTAGCATCTATTACGCATGGCTAAAATAGAAATGCTAGTGCTTTACTTTATTGTTATGA